CCCCGGCAGTTTCTTACCTGGCTCCTCCCAGGCCAAATTCAGGGGCTCCAGCAGGCTGTCGTGTCCCACCCGGCACCGGTAGCGGTCCTTTTCCTTGGGGTCCACCTCGATGCTGAGCCATTTGTTGTAAGTCCCGTCTGAGTTAGGGATGACACCCCCCGTCAAGGTCTCCATCCGTTCCTCCCCGTCCTTCATCCAGGTGACCTCGATCTCTTTGGGGTAGAAGCCGTAGAGCTGGCAGAAGAGGGTCTCCTGGCCATCGTAGCCCTTCTTGAGTGCCACCCTCGCCACTGGGGCCTCTGTGGAAACATCACCCTGTGTTAACACCCTGCATCTACCCAGATGACTGATTGGAGACTGGCCTTGAAGGGACCCCATGCGGTCATCCAGTCCCACCCCCGTCTGGATGTATTCAACTTGCAGCATCTCCAAGAGATGAAACACTCCACAGAAGCGGGTTCTCCAGCCTAGCCTTGGAAATGAGATTGTGGTTCTGACATGGGCCTCGTGAGTCCCTTCAGGGTTTGGGGGTGAAGAGACTTCCTTAACCCACATTTCAGAGTTCTTTCCTAATCTTTAATATTCACTTTAACGAACCAAGCAAGAAATATGCCCCCGCCATGCATTTACACATGACAGGGGTACCAGATAGGCCATCTCAGGGCCACTAACCAACCTGGTCAGCTTCAAAGAGCCATAAAAAAAAAAGATGTGGCCAGAGATATTTCTGTTTTCTGCAAGATACGATGCTCTCTTCACATGCTCCAGGACACTCAGCCCTTACTGATATGTTAGACCAGAGTGGATAAAAAACAATGATTTAAACATTTTTTTAAAAATCAGATTTAAAATTTTTTAACTGGATTTTTAAAATTTAAATTAGATTTTTTAAACAAACTGCTTTTTAAAGACAAATCTATCTAAAGCTCGTTTTCTATTTAAAATACATTCGAGTCCCAAGGACGCCAGGCTAGCTTCAACTGGGGCCAGGGCATTTTTGGTGGCGGCTCCTCTCTAGTGGAACGAGCTCCCGGAGATCAGGGCCCTGCGGGACCTTAGGCAGGTCCGCAGGGCCTGCAAGACGGAGCTGTTCCACCAGGCGTTTAATTAAAAGCCGCCCCGGAGAGAATGCCCCGCCCCCTTGAAACCTCCTGGTAGCCTGAGCCACCTGCACAATGTTAGATCCGGACCGTCCACCAGGATGGCATGGAAGTTGAGTGCCATCCCAAATGGAAAATCAAACCAGAGCCTGTATAATGGTTTTATCTGGATGTTAGCACCTTTTAATGTCGTAATTGTTATATGATTTTATGACTTTTACTATTTATTGTTATCATTGTTGTTTTATCCTGTTGTAAGCCGCCCTGAGCTGGCCATGGCTGAGGGGGGGTATAATTAAATACATAAATAAATACATTTGGCATCCTTAGACTATATTCTAGAAATTATGGCTCTATGCTGCTGCTGGGTGGCAAATGCAGGGATCCTCGTGGGCCTTTTTGCATGCAGTCCTCTAAAATCCATTTCAAAGAATACACACATTTCCACAGTCTACGCCTGAAAAATCATGGATCCAACACTTCATGGCGCAAATGCCATACGGTGCAAAAACAAAGATTCAAAGCCTCATCGATCCTCATAGTTTTAATAAGGAATGATCAGAAATAAACTTCAGAACCATAGAACAAATCCAAGTGTTGGGGGGGGGGGGATACAGATCCAGTGCTTTGTGTCTCTTTCACAGCACAAACACTTGCGTCCAAGGCATAAATCCTCATGGATCTTCACAATTTTTACACAAAGTCCCACAAAACTCACCACCAGATTCCATACCACATCCACAGAGCACAGAGCAATACGCAAAGATCCAGCACTCTGGGCCAAAACCACAGAAAAGATTTGCAGAGCTTTCTTAATAGACCAGGAGCGCCCCTCCTCCCTCTGGCGCTTCCCCACCAAAACGCTCACATGACCAGGAGGAGGGACACGACTCCCTCCGTTCTCAGATCTCCACTGCTGTTCTCTGTGGGTTTTTTCCTCGCCTCAGATTTGAGGCTGGGGAGAGTTTTTTTCTCTTAACAATATAATACATCTAAAGAAGAAATGTTTTGTGGGTTTCCACTGTGTCATTATGGCCACACAGCCCCAAAAGCATGGATTCAAATCACGGCTCCTCCTGAATTCTTATAATTCTTGCACTCAAACATTAAACAACAATTAATTACTTTAGGGAACCTTTATGTTCCACACTCTAACCAAAGGGCCCTTTTTTGAAACATGTTTTTAATACGTTTCTGTACCAGGTTTTCTGTGACGCAATTGATAGGTGCTGACAAAGATGTATGAACTTGCAGCTGGTTTTGGTGGGGTCTCAGTAAAAATCGCGAGGATCTTGGATCCTAGTTTTTGCCTCAGTGGGGGCACCCAGAAGCCCCTGCATCTGCTTTCTGAGGTTCAGCGTGTGGCCATAACAGCTGCTGTGAGGGATTTGTGGACGTTGGGGGACTTTGTGTAAAAGCTTGCGATCATCCAAAACTCCATGGCTTTGACGGTGGCTCCTGTGTGGACAAGGGTGTGTGAACTGCAATTCTGCCAGTGGTGTTGTACCGCCTCCATGTAAAAATCACATGAATGTTGGGAGGGCTCCACTAAAATTCTTACAGACCCCACTTTTGCCAGATCCCCTTCCAGGAAAAAACGCCTGTTGCGGGGAGAAGGGGAGGGCCCGCTGCTGTCCACCAGTGTTCCCTCTAAGCTGAGTTAGTGTGAGCTAGCTCACAGCTTTCTTAGCCTCTGGCTCACACATTTTTGCCTCACCTGAGGAAGGAGGGCTCCAGAGCAAACTCGTTTATGCAGCAACCAAATCGCCTGCTCACAACTTTAATGCCAGGAGCTCACAAAAGTAGAATTTTTGCTCACAAGACTCCACAGCTTAGAGGGAGCATTGCTCTCAACACCCCCCCCCCCATACATTTGAAGCTGCTCCCCCCCCAGCCACCCCCCAGGGGGGTCAGCCCCTTGGCCTGCCAGTAATGGGGCAGGGAGAGTCGGGCAAAGGAAAATGAGGTGATGCATCCCAATCAAGGAGTGAGGCATTCGTTGTCACAGAGAGGGAGAAACACTTGCATACTCCTTCCCCACGCCTCACGGAAGACTTTTCCACGTGCCCTCTTGGGGTGGATGCAGAAGGAAGTGGCATAGTCAGGGTGTGTGTGTGTTCAGGACTGCACCACTTTTGCCAGGGAGAGGAGGAGGAGCCTGGTCTTTAAGTGCTCAGCCCATCTCCTGAAGATATCCGGGGGAAACCGAAGGGGGAGGGGGGAAGCCCAGTCAGTCTCCCAAAGCTGGAAAAGGTCTTTGGACAGGAGAAGTGCCCCTCCCCAGGATGAAGGCGGCTCCCCCTGCCTTGCCTCTCCCCCCCCCCAGCGTCCGCCGGGGCTCCTCCTCACCTGTCCTCAGCAGGGTCTCGTTGCCGTAGCCCAGGTACCTCCCAGCCACTCCACGCAGGTCCCCTCCAGGTAGTCCTTTGCGCGCTGGGCCTCGCCCTCCCACCTTCTCTTGGTCTCCTGGGCCTGGGGCACGCGGGCTGTCCAGGTGACGGTCACTCTGTCGAGGGCGAGGAAGTCCTCCCCGTCGTAGGCGTCCTGCATATACCCCCCGCGGAGCTGCCCGTCTGGCCCCACCTCGCAGCCGTACATCCACTGCAGGATGTGGAGCCCTGGGTGCAAGAGACACATGCGGGAGGTGAGGGGTGGAGGACGCTTGTGTGAGGGGGTCCTCTCTCCCCACAGGAAGGCTGCAGAAAGGCAAGCGCAACGCCTCTTCCCTCGGTCAGGCACTCTCTGCCTCCTCCCCTTCCCCACTCTCCAAATGGGCTGCCCCAAAGGAGAAACCGCAGCAGGG